GGTTGGCATTCTAATTTAAAGTTACCTATTTTCACTTCAGAGTTACTAGTTTCCAGTTTCTGCAACACAAGCAATAGTCCCCCTCCTTGGCCAACTGCAGCAATTCGTGACAAGGTTGTAGATACCAGGAAAGGCTCCAGTAGGGTCAGACTAGACCTGGGTTTGCAACCTTGGTACTTGAGTTCTGGCTAGGAAAGAATTCAAACTACAAGAGAACATCCTAACTAATAAAGGGTAATATGCAAATTGACCATCACTCCAACACACAAGATGGCTGCCCCCATGTGGACACAAGATGGCCATTAGAGGAGGGCAGTTGGAAGGGACCAGGCCTGCAAGGGAGGGCAATTGGGGGCAACCAAGTCTTCAGGAGAGGGCAGTTGGGGGTGATCAGGACTGCAGAGGAGGGCAGTTAGGGGTGACCAGGCTGACAGAGGAGGGAAGTTGGGGGCGACTGGGCCTGCAGGGAAGGGCGGTTGGGAAGGACTCAGGCCTGCAGGAGAGGGAAGTTAGAGGCAATCAGGCTGGCAGGGGAGCAGTTAGGCATCAATCAGGTTGGCAGGCACAAGGGGTAATTAGGAAGGCAGGCAGGTGAGCAGTTGGGAGCCAGCAATCCTGAATTATGAGAGGGATGATCCCTGCTGGGATCAGGCCTAAACAGGCAGTTGTATATCCCTTGAGGGGTCCCAGATTGGAGAGAGTGCAGGCTAGGCTAAGGGACACCCTCCCTCTCCCCTGCATGAATTCCATGCACCGGGCTTCTTGTTTATTTATAAACTCACAGAAGTGGAAGAAGTAATTTGTAGAGGAAATGCACTGAGGAAACAAGTTATAGAGGCAAAGGAAGGCCCTGGGAGCCCAGGAGTTAGGAAGCTAATGGTAATATGCCTGGGGAAGCTGGGGGTGGGGGGGAATAGGCAGGGGCAGACTGGGGTGGGAGAGGTACTGGACCTTCTGCCTAAGGGTTTTAAGGTTGGAGATTTCTGGGGAGGGCCAGGGGGAGATCTTAATAAAATATGCAGCAGCTGTCCAGGTGTGTCCTTTCAGGGTCTTGTCTCCACTTGATTGTTTGGCACCAGGAAGGGGGTCATTATTCAATGCAGCTGGTCCTGAGGTCAGTCCTGGGGTCACTGGGCTGGTTTTGTTGCTTTCCTGGGCCTGAAGCTGAAATACAACTGAGGCCTAGAAGTTATCTCGGGGGAGGAAAGGTCAGGGGGTCCAAACCGCATGACCATCAATATGCTGGGAGAGGGGAGGTCACCTGGCCCATCCTCCCTGCTCTGCTCATGTCCTCTCACTGCCTATCACAGTAACGCAGTCCTTAGCAGGCGGGGATGTGCCCAGTTGCTGTGTTTGTAGCAACAAACACAGTCCACTCAACCACCCAAATTAAGTTGATCCCTAGGGTGGAGAGTTAAAACTATCCAATAAAACAAAAAATAGCAACCGCCTTCTGCCACCCCCAACTCTACCAATCATCACAACATTTCAGTGGTTTTCCTCAAACCCTAAACTGGAGGGAAGCTCAAGAAAGAAATGATCTCTTCTTCTTTTTCTTCTTCTTCTCCTCCTTTTTCTTCTTCTTCTCCTCCTTCTTCTTCTCCTCCTCCTCCTTCTTCTTCTTCTTCTTCTTCTTCTTCTTCTTCTTCTTCTTCTTCTTCTTCTTCTTCTTCTTCTTCTTCTTCTTCTTCTTCTTCTTCTCCTTCTCCTTCTCCTTCTCCTTCTCCTTCTCCTTCTCCTTCTTCTCCTTCTCCTTCTCCTTCTCCTTCTCCTTCTCCTTCTCCTTCTCCTTCTCCTTCTCCTTCTCCTTCTCCTTCTCCTTCTCCTTCTCCTTCTCCTTCTCCTTCTCCTCCTCCTCCTCCTCCTCCTCCTCCTCCTCCTCCTCCTCCTCCTCCTCCTCCTTCTTCTTCTTCTTCTTCTTCTTCTTCTTCTTCTTCTTCTTCTTCTTCTTCTTCTTCTCCTCCTCCTCCTCCTCCTCCTCCTCCTCCTCCTCCTCCTCCTCCCTCCCTCCTCCTCCTCCCCCTCCCCCTCCTCCCTTCTTCCTCCTCCCTTCTTCCTCTTTCCCCTGCTCCTCCTTCTCCTCTTCTTCCTTCTTTAATAAGAACTCATCCCGTTTTTATTCATTTCCATGGTAGGTAGATGGCTCTTGGCAGCCTGGGTGGAGAAAAGTCTCAGGAATCAGAGTCTGCTGATGGCATTAAACTTTTTTCCTGGTTCACTGTGTGATTTTAGACCCCATTGGCCGATGAACTTCTGAAACGTTAACCAGCTAGAGAATGCTTCATCTACCTAAAAATCACTGGTGCTGTGGAATTCACTTTCATTATTGTATTTTAGTTAAGTGCTCTGAACAGATGCATAGAAAAATCTAGTCTTTAATGTAATCAACCCCACTTTCCTTTATTCTTCCTTTTATTCTCTGTTAACTTGGTATGCCCAGGATCCAATTTGAATTCGTGACTGCTCAGTCTGGCAGACCCAGGCACAGGGCTAACCCTGGGCCTCCACCCTCCACACCTGCCTTTGCCCCAAGCCCCTGTCTTCTCCCAGCCCCCAGCGCTGCTCCTCCAGCCTCTGCACTAGCATCTTCCTACAAGCACAGAAAGCCTCTCCGTGTGGCCTGAAGAAGATGCTGCAGGCCTCAGGTTCTATTTTATAAGTCATGCAAGTGTGGCTTTCTGATCTCAGGCATGCTTCCTTTAAGGCGACTGTGAATAAAGGGAGACTTCAGGAAGGGGCCTCCTGATGGTCCTGCCGCGTCCTCATTGGCTGACCCCTCGGAAACCCTGTCCCCTGGGGGCGGGGGGCGGGGGGGGGGGGTCCGGCACTCCAGTCTGAGCAGCTCTGGGGTAACGCCTTATTATGCTGCTCACATTCCTCCCCTTCCGACCCCGGCCTGTTTTCCTGCCTCTTCCACCACACAAACCCTAGTGTTTCCCAAAGGAAAAAGGAGTGTGTGTGTGTGTGTGTATGTGTGCACTGTGTGTGTGTGTGTGTGTGTGTGTGTGTGTGTGTGTGTGTGTGTGTTGGGGGAGGTGTCATTCATCTAACAAAATGAAATAGGTTTCTTAACCGTAAGACGACCTCAGCAGGCCAGTGGGAATTATGAATTCTCGCATTGGGAAGATAGCATATTGTATTTCTCAAACGTTTCCCAACAGGCCCTTGGGACCCTTTGGGGTCTTACCTGACCTCATTTGACATGACCTACTCTTATGTCTCCACGTTCTGCCTTCTGACATTTCCTCACGATGATCTATTTATCTTTCCAGGGGCAGTTCAGACATCTCCTTTGTGAAACTTTTCCCGTTCTCTTCAGTAGGCAGATGTAACTCAGCTTCCTCAGCTCTGCTGTGCAAGCTTTAGCCACAATGGCGCCGACCAGGTTGGACATCTAAGAGCCTCTCCTAGATTTCAGTCCAGAAACAAATCACCCCTCCAGAACCTGTAGCCGTGCCCAGCACACAGTGGGCCCGCAGATGTCCAAGTGCATTCAGAGTGTAGGTGGGCGTTTTACACTGCCAGGATTTTTGGCATCCTCTGTGTTAGGTTTATTGATTTTTTTTCTCCTCATTCTCAATGTTTTTGAGTAATGAAGTCATTGGAACAAAGTAGCACCCGCTCCCCCCAAATAAAAAGATTCAACTCAACCCAGTAGGAGCCCAGGGCGGGGACACTTTGCCAACACTTGGTGAGAACCCCATCAGCATCATACTGACCATTGAGGAGGAAGGCCCTCGGCACAGAGTGTCTGTGCCAGGCGGGCATCATGCTTTTTCAACACCACCCCCCCCACACCCCCTCAACCACCGCGTGCTGCCGGTCCTGCTATTGGCCCCATGTTGCCAATGAAGAAGCTGATGCTCTGGGAGGACCTGCCCAAAGCCTCCAGCAACCAGCAGAGCGGAGAGCACAATCCAGACAGTAATCTGACTGCGAAGCCGACGCTGGCTCACGGAACTGTGTGCAGCTATTTCTGATGTGGGGCTGTCATGCCAGCCAGTCACAGAGGGGACATGAGACAGTGGAGGGCAGTGCAGGGCAGTGACCTCACACCAGAGGCTCCAGTCACTGCCAGAGCCCGGAAACTTGGTGTTACTCACATGGCTAGAAAGACCGAGGGCTTTTCAACATCTGGTTTATGAGATTTCATTTTTTTTTTTTTTTTTTTTTTTTTTTTTTTTTTTTTTTTTTTAGCTAGAAGCAGGTTTTGGCAGAGATGAGAAAACATGCAGTGGTTTCCATCTTCCCTGATTGGTGACTTAGGAATACACAAGCCCAGAAGTCCAGAAACTTACTCTAAAAAGAGTGCTTTGTTCTGGCCAGTGTTGCTCTGTGGTTACAGCGTTGGCCCATGCACCAAAAGGTCATGGATTTGATTCCAGTCAAGGGCCCATACTTGGGTTGCAGGTTCAATGCTCGGCCTCAATTGAGGTGCTTGTGGGAGGCAACCGATTGATGTTTCTTCCCCTGCCCCTTCTTCCGCTCACTCTAAAAATCAATGGAAAAAATATCCTCAGGTGAGGATAAACAAAAAGAGAAATGGAGTGCTTTGCTGCTTGGTTAGGGCTCATATTACTAGTCAGATCATTTTTATATTAACACTTTTGAGTGGCTCACACTTAATGGTCTGTCCTTGAGGCACACTAAAGTTTCTAGTATTTGCCCATTATCACAGCTGCTGGTGCTAATCAATGCCACAAAATGCTCTCCCTCTCTCTGTGGTATCTTTGGGCCTCTGTTTAGCTCCCAGTCTCCCCGTCGCTCTTTGGCAGCAGTGCACAGACACTCTTGCTTGTTGCCCTCACTGGGGCTGCAGAAGAGGACAGCTTAGATCCTGCTCCTGCCAGTTCTGGTGTGTCAGAGTTTCCTGGAGATGCAGGGGCTGTGTTCCAGCCGTTGTCACACACAGCTACTGCAGACAGCCATGGCCAGCCAGCCAGCGGGGACAGCAACCCAACTTAGAACCCTCCCTGGATGTCCGAGGGCTGGAGAGGCTCATGGCCCTCAGGAGATTGTCCACCGAGGGCTTTGCTTCCAGCCCTAGTGCCCACCACAGGTAAGGGGCCAGGGGGTGGGCCAGTCGGTATTCTTGTGGGCTGACTCCAAACATGACTCCAGGCTGAGGAAATGTAAACTTCTTGGAGTCTGCCAGAAAAAGATCTCAGCCATAGTTACTTTTCAGTGTAGGAGAAACCCTAATTGTAGAAGGGCTACTGGTCAAAAGAGCTGGGTATGAAAATCACCTGGCAAAGTGTACTCTCTTAGATAGGATGAGATCTCTGACATGCTGCTATAAATAAAGTGAAACATAAATATATGTTTTATATTTTAGACATATATATTTATAACATATAAATATACATGTATATAAAGTAATAAATAAAAACGGTCACTGAGTTCTTTGTTGCCATCCTCACTCACCTCTTTTCCCATTCCTCCCTCCAGCCCCCAACTCCAAACTCAGGCATCCTTCAAGGCAATCTGATTTTATCGGTGTGCACAACAGTGATGGGGAAAATTGCTTTTCTGATTAGTGACCTCTTCTCAGCACCTCCATTCTTCCCTTTAGGACTCAGGATGATCTAAGCTTTGATTCGTCAGAAACTTGTCTGTCCTCAGACAGGAATGAACAGGTAACAGCCAGAGTTGTGCATGGAAGGTGAGGTTGATATTTTGAACTCAGAGTGGGAAGGTCCAGGCTGGGAAATTAGAGCTACTAACCTAGTAGCCAAAGCTAGGGAGAAGGCGGCAAGGGTATATACAATATATATATAGCAATGTTCTACCAACCGATACCAGCCTTTGTCTCTGAAGTTATTGGCAACTGTAGAAATTGATGGTTTTAGCGATTTGTTTTTCCACTCAGGTTGATTAATAATTCCCCTCTTCTCTCTGCCCCCAATCTCTGCTTCATAACATTGGCCTTATAAGACCATGCCTAGTCCCAGAGGTTAGGTAAATGGTCAATATAAAATAGACATATCCGGTGAATTAATGTTCCTTTGAAGTCATAAAAAAGAACACAAAATAAAACATGGTATAGTATTCTTACTCAAATTTATCAGTTCAAATGGTCCTGCTTACATGGGTGTCAGCATAAAAAGATAACTCAAAGCTTTCGGCTGGCAGTGACAACCATCCATTGTTGGTCTGGAAGCCACCCTAAGTTTATTCTTAATTGACCTCTGTAATCTCTGTGAGGTTTCCATTAGCCACCCCATCCCCATCAGTAACACATGCATGTTTATCTAGTTGGGCTATTTATTCTGAGTTCTTATAGGAGCAGGCACAAGACTGGGCTTTTAGCTGCTGCCTGGAATTCTTTCAAGGACACAGATTGGCTGCAATGTTCAGTGGCAGCTTGGGTGAAGACCAGCCCCTCTGACTTCCCCTCTGCTTCTCTAGGACAAGGTGGAGGCCTCTGACAGGACTGTGATGAGGCATCCCCTGGTCACCATTCGTCTACCTATCCTCAGCACCTCTGGCCTTCTGGAACGCTGGCTGGGGCTGGGGCTGGGGCTGGGGCTGGCACTGGGGCAGCCAACCCAACACTTGTCTTCCACACCTCGGCTTCTCCTGGGCCACCCACTACTGCTGGCCAGTTGGAGGTTGCTGGGGCCTCGGCCAGCTTTTTGCCTCAGTCAAAGCACGGGGAACTCAGAGAGGGGGAGGGAAATGGAGAGGGCAGCTTGGGCTACCCCAGGGAAGATCCACCCAAGGCCCGAGGCTGGGCAAGAGGGAGCCCATGCCTCCTCTCCAAGTGGGAATCCTGCTTTGCCTTTGGCCACCTGGGGCATGGTTTTGGCTGCTGGCCTTTGCTATCTGCATCCCCAGTGGTCAGGGGTGTCCTTCAGGGAGCCTGCAGCAGGTGAGGTTGCCAGGAGTGACGAGGGTGAGGCTGTGCATGTCAGGCAGCTTGGGGAGAACAGCTGTGTCCTGGTTGAAGCTGAATACAACTGGATCGCCCCCTCTGTGGATAGCAAGAAAGCAGTCCTCGAAGGAGCCATCGTCCCAGCCTCTCAGGGGCCTCCTCAGACCCTGTAGTGTCTCAGAACAGAGCTAATGAGAAGAACTGGGGAGCACAGGACCCGCTGGGTGCCGTCAGCCCGTGGTTAGTGCAGGAAGCACTGAGTCCTTCCCAAGCTTTGTTGTCTCAACAACTGTATTTAGCTTCTTTCTTTTCCTCTCGCAATTAGATGTTCTGTTTGAAGAGTTGAACTCAACACAATGAATATTGTATAACCTGCTCATTAACTAGACTCCAGTGGCCTCTTGGCTTCCTCCGTTGCCTTAAGGAACCCACAGATAAACACTGTGTTCCTCCTCCATGTGTCAGCCTCATCTCCTCTCTTTGGAGAAAAAAAAAAAAAAAAAAAAGGAATGTGGGGTTGCATCTCTTGCAAGAAAAAGAACTGTAACTCGTGCTTCACAGATCCAAAGCAGCCCCACAGAACCGGAGTTCAGAACCAGCTCTGATGACTGGGCTAGGCGAGCGCAAGGGTAGTCAGAGTAGACGGCGACTCAGAGGTCTGGCAGCCCCGCCATGGAGATCGATGGGAAGTAAGGAGGGCGTGAGGGTTTGATTAAACACATCTGTGGGGAAACAAACACACAACAACACGAGGCCATAAACACCAGTGCGGGGCAAGTCAGCTCTTCATCAGGTGTGAATGGATCTGAGGCCGCCCGTCCATTTACACTTGATGGGAGGCTCTTGTAGCTCCACAGTGAGCAGATGGATTACCTTTTGCCAAAGGTCAGGCTGGACAAAAAAACGAGGCCAGCACAGTTCGGAGGACAGCCTGGGGTGGGAGTGGGGAGTGTAGGGGGGAGAGCGCGCACTCAGGGGGTGTTAGAAAGAGAGCATTGTGCACAGAACCCACCCCAGTGCACTTGTGACTTCATGAAGGTCATCTTGGTGTAGCCAGAGTCCTATAGGTACTGCGAAGGGTCAAAACAGCAGGTGCAAATATAAACCTTGAATGTGCTCCCTTCACATGGCACATCGTTAACTGCCTTTGCAGAGTCCCAGTCCATTTTCTTTAAGTCTTTATTGTTTACAGGATTACATATGTCTCCTTTTCCCCACATTGGCCTCTCCAAACCCACCTTCACCCCCCTATAGTATGTGGAGTCCCGGTCCATTTTCATGTGCAAACAAAAACCACCATGAATTCGGAAGGGGATCTATTGATGAAGCACCTAAGTCCTACAGGTACGGCACTGAGAACTTCACATATATTTTCACTTTTAACCCTCATGATAACGTCATGAGGATTAAGTTCAGTAACTTGTCAAAGAAAGAGAGAGAGAGAGATGGGCCTTCATGATATCTGGATTCAACAGTAAAAGCATTGCTTTTACCGTAAGTTGCATGTGTTGGGTTTCCGGCCCCTGGTGGCTTGGCATCAATTCCAGACTCTCTCCTCCTGAATTGTGGGGCAGGCACACCTGCTCTCTGGATTCAGGCCTCGTTAGGCACGCAAAGACCCAGGTGTTCACAATGGAAGTGTGCCAGGGATGCTGTGGGAAGACACAAATGCCCTGACTCAGCAGGGGCCGCAGACACCGCTGCTACATGCCCAGCCCTCCTCAGAGATATCCTCTCCGAAATGCAAACAAGGAACCTTCTCATGGAGGGTTCTCACCTGGCCACATCCCATCAGAGCCAGGTGAACCACATACAAATGCAACACCTTCCAGATCTGTCTTGTCCAAGAGGGCATTTTCCTGGGTGAACAGACTGGTTATCTACTATTGTGAAACAAACTACCCCACAACTCAGTGGTTTAAAACCAGTGCCACCACCAGGTATTGTCTTTCAGGATTCTGAGGCCGCCTGGGTTCAGGCGGGCAGTTCTGCTCCACGTGCTGTTGAGTGGGCTGCAACACCCCAGAGGACTCACTGGCAAGACCGTCAGGCAGGTGGTGCTGGCTGCAGCCCGGCCCCACTGGGGCTGTGATGAACATAGGAAGCAATTTGCTTCTCCTCTTCGTGCGTCTTACAGCTACTGGCCAAGTTCTGAGTGGAGAGCACCAAGCAGACAAAACCAGAAGCTGGGCATCCCATAAGGCCCAGCCTCAGGGGTTACATGGTTTTTCTTCGGCCACTTTCCAGCAGTCACAGCAAGAAACAGGGCCAGCCCTCATTCTTCAGAGGGAAGGGCAATCGATTTTGCTGTTTTGTTTTGTTAATCCTCACTGGTGGATATTGTTTCCATTGATATATACATATTATTGATTTCAGAGAGGAAGGGAGAGAGAAACATCAATGATAAGAGAAAATTGTTGATTGGCTGCCTCCAGCAAGCCCCACACTGGGGATCGAGCCTGCAACCCGGGCATGTGCTCAAACCCGGGGTCTTTCAGTCCACAGGCCGATGCTCTATCCACTGAGCCAAACTGACGAGGGCTTCCATTGATTTTTAGACAGAGTGGAAGGGAGGAGGAGAGACACGGAGGGAGAAACATCAATGTGAGAGAGCCACATCAACGGGTTGCCTCCTACCCGTGCCCCAACTAGAGTCGGGGTTGGAGCCTGCAACGGAGGTACATGCCCTTGGCTGGAATTGAACCCCAGGCCCTTCAGTCCTTAGGCCAACTCTCTAACCACTGAGTGAGCAACTGGTCAGGGCCAATTTCATTTTTTGATGGGAGGAGTGGCAAAGGATTTGAAGCTCTCTCTAATTCACTTCCTCTTTCGTTGGACTTCTGCCCTGCCACGGGGCTTCATGAGAGCAGGAGACGCCCCGGGTCACCTTCCCTGCAAAGCTTCCAAGAGGGTGAGGAGACTCTCTGGGCGTCAGGGTTAGGTGCACATTTCCCCTCCAACTGGGAGCTTCAGCTGGGGCAAAAGAGTCCAGTGACACAGAAGAGCTGGCCGGACGACCTTGGAGCCTGAGCTTCCTCGTCAGAGAGAAGCGGATCACAACATTATTTACCTCCTGCAGCTGCTGGGTGGGAGACATTCACGCTCAACACTTAGCCGCGTAGGACTAACTGCCACCGACATGCCACGGTTAATAACCTGGTCCCGCAGCTGCGACACTGGCTCCAAGTCTGGTCCGTTTAGAGAAATTCTGTGACCACCACGGAAAGGCTGTTCCCTTTCCATGGCAACCTCCACCCCACGGTCGCCACGGGCAACAGCTCCTGCTGGGGGCCCGCATTTTTGCTGAGCCTTTCTGAGCAAACTCTGTGTTTGGCAAGGGCGGCTGGAGTCCACAGGCCTCCATCCGCAGACATAAAACCCTCTGTTCCTGTGATCCGGAGGGTCTCTCAGCCTGGCCTCTGAGAGGCCCAGAGGGGAGCAAACAGGATCTGTTCACGTAACCTGAAAGCTCCTCCTAAGCCATCCGAAGCCATCAAAAGTTTTAAAAAAGCAAAGGACTCCAATGCAACATCTTAAAAATAGCTTTTTTGTTTTTGTTTTGTAGGAACAGTTACAGAATTGTTCAGCCAACCTCCTTTTATAGGGGAAAGAGGTTTGGGCCTGCACATGTAAGGGAAAATGACAGAAAAACAGTTGCTGAAGACTCTTTATACTCTAAACAATGTTTTCACCTCTATTGTTAATTTAACAGCCACAGATTGGGGGCAGGAGTGGGGCCTTCACCTCCTTTGCCCTCAGAGCCTGCCTTTGATATTCCTAATGAATGGCTCCCCTCGGACGCTATAATCTTGACTTCATGCTTAGCCGTAGCCGGGCTGAGCGGTCTCCCTGTCTGAAGCTGTCTGGATTAATTTGCTGTTACAGTGTTTGTTTTCCTTTAGAAAAATTCTAATTAACAACAACAACAGAAAACGGGTCAACAAGCTGGTAAATATTTAAACAAGCGTCGCGTTTGCTTTGCAAAGTCGCGTGGGAAAGGCTAGCAGCGTAGGAGCGCCTTACGGGCAGCGGACCCTCTCCCAGCCTTGGACTTGGGGCGTTAATCAGTGACTCTGGGGCTTTTGGACACGCAGCTCCCCTCTCCTATGAGTGGTGAGGAATTTCTGTTATTCGAGCGACATGAATTTGCATTAATTTGTTTTATTAAACCTGAGAACCTCTTCCCGGTCTGAGGATATTCAGAACTCTGCTCCAAATGGCCACGGGGGGCTGCGAAACCAGCCCCCGTAGTCTGGGGCTTAGCCGGTCAGGAGGACCTTTCTGATGCAAAGAAAGAGGACGTTTTTGTCTGTTTCTTCTGTTCCTGGAATGCACAAAAAGGGCATTGGAGACTCTGCTCTGTTGACAGTGATGGTGGAGCAGACAGGACACCGGAAGCCTGCCAAGCGTACTTGGGTGCCTTTTTATTTATCTTTTGCTTTTAAGCCATAGATCTGTTTATGCCACACTGTTTCTGAGTTCTCTAATGGCTCTCCGTCCCTCTGAAGGAAACCTGAGCATCTCGCTTGGCTGGCCCGGCCCTCAGCACCTTCGCGGCTCCCAGACATTCTCAGCACCGCGTGAAGGCTCCACGAGTGCTGTGCAGCCCCGGTCAGCTCACAGGCTCTGGCTGCTTTTTGTCTGGAACGCCAGCCCCCAGATGTGCACAGCCCCCATAACTTTGTGCCGGTGCTGCCGTCAGAGGGGCTTCTCCCGGCCACAGGAACCTCTTCCCACTCCTTGTGCCTCCCCTGCTTTACATTATCATGCTTCTTACTGGGCGAGTCCTATGCATTTATGTGTATTTTTTTATTCTGTTCTGCCTCCCCTGACTAGGATGCCATGTAAAGGCAGAGACTGAAAGTTTTTTTTGTTTTTAACTTTTTAATATATACATTTATTGATTTCAAAGAGGAAGGAAAAGGGAGAGAGAGAAAAACATCAGTGATGTGAGAGAATCATTGACCGGCTGCCTCTTGCTTGCCTCCTACTGGGGATTGAGCCCAAAACCCAGGCATGTGCCCTTGACTGGAATCGAACACTGGACCCTTCAGTCCACAGGCCGATGCTCTATCCACTGAGCAAACCAGCCAGGGCCAGAGACTGAGTTTTGTCCTTGGCTGCATCCCCAGCACATATGAAAGCTGGCTGCTCTAGTGGGCCTTTGAGGCGG